TGGGTTTCTGAGAAAGTCGATCAGCAGATTTAAACAGTCTGTGGAACTTTATCGGGCAGTCAGTGTAGGAAAGATTTTTAAACACTTAGAACAATGAACGTTTAGCAAATAATCATAATCTAAACTCCTAAAAAGACACTATCAGTCAATTCCCCATCGTGGATTTCACCTATCGTGACCAAGATCTGGAACGAGAGACCCGCAATAGGTGAGAGATTTTTGTATAAGGTTGAGACCGGTTGACTTTTGCAGGATATAATTGAGGTAACCACTTCTATCACGATATATTCAATATTGGTGACTTCATATACATCTATGCCTACGTGAAATTAAATAATCAATTAAGGGGGTGGTATTAGACAATTATTTGAAAAATCAGGATTTCGCATGAGAAAATAATAAAAATTAGTATGCAGTTTAGCAACAATCAGACGACAATAAAAGTATAGTCGCACATCGAATAGTAGGAACAATGGTCTTACGAATACAGAGCAATGTTTTTGATAACCATCTGGTCGGTTACGTCTTTTACGATTTTATTAATTTTATCATAAGCTTCAAATAAACTCCCCGACACCTGCAGGAGTGACAAGACGCTCCCCTCCTCAGCATCTTCAAAAACTGAGCGCAGCTCGTTTGTCATCGCGTCTTCCGTTGCTGACTGCCTTGCATCTTACGTCGAATTGCTTTATGCACGCTCGGTCACCTCAAAACATGCGATGCTTTGATTAAATGAAATCATTATCATGGGTCTAGTGACTATATTAGGTTTCGTATGCGTAAACCAATAATTTATTGATATTGCTGCTGTCTAATATTTGCTGGCACTTGAATTCTTCGGCTGATAGTTGATTTGGAAATGGAAAAATATAAGAGTTATTTCCAACCATGCAGTTTCTAGTACATAGCTAGATTTCAATACGATGAGAATTTTTCATCTTAAGAAGCAATTTTTACAAAGCAATGTAATCAATAATCAATATTTGATAGTTTTTTAATAACCTCTTTTCCAGACAAATATTGAGGGATATAGGCTGTGACCATTAAAAAAGTTAATGCATCATTCCTAACGAACCCCAACTATTTGTATCTCAAAATACAGTAGGTTGCCTATTTGCGAGTCCTAATAAAATTATGATGACCTTGCGAAGATACTGTAATTCTAAAACTATGAACTCCGGTTAGCTTGAATGATCAGCCTGCTGCTCTGATTGCTGGCAGCGCTGAGATCGCCCAAGAACTTGGTCATGTCGCTAACTTTAAAGGCTTTGGGTCGTTTCAAAGTTAGAGAGAAGCATTTACGTTCGTCATCCGGACGCTTTTGCGGCCTTTTGGCAACCTTTCAGGAACAATACGGACGAACGAATCGCACACGATACGATCTGCGCTCGTCAGTGCCGGCACACCGCTTATCCCGTCACGATTCGTTGCGGTGCGCGGTTCCTTCACTCGAAATTGTTGCTCGTCTCTGTGCCTTTGATATCGAACCGCGGACCCACGTTTGTGATCCGCAGTCCGCATTCTCCATTGGACTCGCGTCCTCTTTTATTGCTGCCAGCCTAGGAAGCGGCTTTTTGTATCCTCAGCACACGCGTTTTCCATATTTTCTATCACATTTGCCGTGAGCACAAACATGACGAAAAAATCCCTTTCACAGGGAAGTCATGCTCGCCAAATAAGGCCGCTCAACTACCCGTAGCCTACATGTTGCGGAGCACTAGTGTTACGGTGAGAACAAATTTTTACATAGTCATTGTCTGTTCAATGAAGGCGAAGCGTTCAATATTATCAAGTCCCTTTGATCGGAATAGTTAAAGGGAGAGAACAGTTTACAGTTTAAACACACATAATTCTTCTAGGATTAAAAAATACAATTTGTCCATCCAAAATTTATTTTCAGGACATGTTAGTGGTACTCTACGTGTTCTCTTGCTTGCCGTGCATCGGTTGAGAAAAAAGTGAGACAAAAACAGCTATCGATAATCGCGCGTCTGATTAGAGGAGGGAGGCGAGAGCCACAAATTAATGGATGAGGAGCCGTCAAAACTTTCGGCGAAGCATTTTACAGCTTAAGAAAAAACATGAAAACAGCGAAAAAGAAGCTGTTGCGGCGGCGTGCAGCTGCTCCGGCCACTGCCTGGAGAAGCTGCGTGCCGCAACTAACCAACCATTTGCCGGAATAATGATTCAGCCAAAATTTTAACATTCATTAAACTTCAATTATCATCATTGACCGCATATTCATTGCTCATAAATTTTCAAAAATTATTGCGGCTCCAATTTGAGAAACGATAACGAATAACTAAATTTAGCATGAGTTACAGTAATGGCAATAGCAACTTTTTCTCCTTATGGCAATATAAATGAGTTGAATTTCAATTATAAATACGAAACATTTGCGATGACTCGGGAACGACCATCTCAATAGGAATACTTGTGTGCCACGAGATACGGACGTCGCTGTGGACGTGGCGAACAGTGCCGCCCAGAGCGACTGTGATTGCCTTAGCCTCAATGTTTGTTGTTATAACGCAGCTATATTCCGTGTGGATAAGTTCGTGTGGGGTCAGCCTTGTTCTGTGAGGCGCCTTAGTTCTGTTTGACCAGCGGAGTGCCATCATACCACCAAAGCTTGATGTCATTAGCTGTATAATGTATGAACGCGCGGCCAGGGCTGAACGACGTTTCTATGTTAAATCCTTAACAGTTTCATTTAAAACACTTTGACAGTACGACAAGAAAATATTTTCAAATTAAAGTTCATTGTTCTTGAATTGAGATTAGTATATAACTTTGAAATATGTATGATAAATTATGATTTTTGAAAGACAAAATTCGAACTTCTAGAAATTTACATCAACTATTTAAAATTAGACATAGTCCATAGATCGTGTGATTCTAGCCATTGCTCACTTCAAATCAAGGCACGGAACAAACATGGAAATAAAGATTAACTCACTAATATTTGTTGTCGTCCTACTCGGTCAGTACTTTTTCAGCGATTTAATTAAAAAACATAAATTATTCAGACGTAATCAATGAATTTTATTCATAAATTTTAATTTCCTAGTCTAATAATTAAATTAATAAAAGTAATTAATTTAAATGGGCGATCTTGTAGTAAGTCTACTTAAATTTGACTACTAGTTTTTGACAATAAGTCGCTTGGCAAGATTTATAAATTTAAATAACCGACGGTCGATGCACCAAGTTGTTTATCTACGATAAACGATTTCTGTCCTATATATTCAAATTCTTGTTATTGAGAAGTGCATTTATTTGACTTGGTAAAACGATTTTTTCTGGATGAAGCGCTGTCAAAATTTTGCATTTAATATCAAATATTTGAAAATTGAAAAACTTGTGTTGGCTAAATGAAAAAAGTCTGTTAATAAAAAATCGCAAACAATCGACTCGGTGAATAAGTAAAAAAAAAATTCATGTAGAAATTAGTTCGCTAATATTATTATCTGAAATATTTTGATACCTTTTATTCCAATTTTCCAAACAAAACTAAAGCAGTTTATAGTTTAATTTACTGAAGATTTTTAAGAATATTTAATGATGTAAGCAAAGCAAACTCATCAGTCCTATATTAAGTCAATTTTCGAATTGATTGCACACGACAAACAAAATTATTCTTAAAATGGAGTTTTTCTTCTTCTTTCCAGATTTTGGGTCATTTCGCACAATTTATTTCATGAGCAATTTTCCATGTTCTCAAATCGAAATTTCCAAATTACCATGCCCTTATATTATAGTCATGATCATAGACAAAAAATTCAAAACATTGATTAAGAACAACAAAAGCGTCGTCGACGCATCCGCTTTCCGTATATTCTAACTGTTGTACGGCCCATTATTAAAATTCTAAAGTATACACTTTACATGCATGTGCCATAAGTGCAAGAATTTTAGAAGAACTTTAGGCCAATATAATAAATAAATTTAATCGCAATGTTCTGTCTGTAAGCTACACGAAAAAAACAATGTTTAAATTTAAAGCCGTTTTTTAACTATCAATGAAAACATATTTTTTTAGGTTTAATCAATCTCGGAGAAATTCGTTTTTATTTCCACGTTCTTCTTGACTTCGTGTCGTGTGTGTCTGTCATCAAAAATTCAAACCTTAATTTAGAGCACTTCTAAACATCCTAGTAAGTTGAAATTTGGCATGCATGCTTATGCTGCCTAAAAATTCAAGATTTGATCATCAGAAATAATAATTAAAAAATTTTTTTTGAAAAAAAAAAATTAAATAAAAAACGCTAAAAATTCACGGTTTGGAATTGAGTTTTTTCTCGAACATCCACACTTGCCAACCCTATAGAAATTGATTTGAATTGCTAAAATTGCTAACTAAAAAGTAGAAAATAGATAAATATACATAATATTTTTAAAAACCACGTTTTTCTGCTTTTTACAAAACTAAAAACAGTGAAATAAAACAACTTTTAAAAACCACGTTTTCTTAACGGACAAAAAAGAAAAACATTTACTCTTACATTACATTACATAACATTTTACATAACTTAAATGTTATGTAAGAGTAAATGTTTTTCTTTTTTGTCCGTTAAGAAAACGTGGTTTTTAAAAGTTGTTTTATTTGTTTTATTATGGTTCAAATGTTACATCTCACTCATTATTCGACAAAATGTGTCAATTTTTTGTACATAAATTGCACCGCCTTTACCGCGTTAACATAGTTATGAACAGTTTCCCGCCTAAGATGAGCACAATATCGTGTTGTATTAAATAAAAATGTATGAAGGTGACATTTCGTGCGCTATTCGTCCTATTTACCATGCATTTGCTAGAATCTAAGAGTGTCAAGCCGGTCTAGTGCCGAATACAGCAGCAGGAGCCTTCAATGCTCGCGGAACTTGTAAATTCTTGTCTTTAGATTCAACGCCAAAACCAGAATTATTCCGTGGACACAAGGGACGAATTGGGTATTGTAAATGAAAAGAAGGAAAGGTATTTTATAAAACAATACTCACGATAATTTTTGGAATGATGAACCACTTGTTTTCGTGCAATATGCTTGCGACAAGTCCTACTAATGGACTCGAACGGGAAAACTGAAGATATTTCATATATAATTACTCTCTTGTAGAACAATCTTGGTATAGGAAATTTAGACTCTATATATCATAAAAGAAATGTTTTTGTGACGTTTTTTATCGGACTCGGAACGTAATTAAGGGTCAGTTGTTGCCACCTGGCCGAGGTTCAAACAAGAGGGGAGTCGAGCACAATCCTCTTCCCTCAGCGGCTGGCGCACTTGTGACGCGTGGCGAGGGCTCGAGCCTCCTCCCTCGCACTCGACGAAACCGCCTCCTGCCCTCGTGACACGCCCTCGACGGCTGCTTATAGGCTCAAACGAAATTATATTATCTGAATACCTACTTTATTAACTGTAATTTCACGAAAAGGAATTAATTTTTATGCCATTCAATACAAATGTGAAGGTTCACAAATTTGTTTTTTAATTCATTCACTTATTTTCGTGCAATTTATTTTTTAGGTGATTGGATTTGTGCGCTTAAATTAGAATATATCCCAAATTTGCTAATTTTATTCGAAATAGTAATCAATGCAAACCTTTTTTCGCAAAAACTATTTAAAACAGAATTCACTGTTGCAATTTACATAACCAACTTTGCATGAATGAGATCATTCCTTAATTTCCTCCTTCAATCGTCATTCACTCAAAGTTCACTAAAAACCATTGAGTGAATGAAAAAAAACTAAATTCACTAAACAAAAAAATATAATTGAACTTTGCTTAATTTGTTATTGCGATTAGAGGTACAGGTTGGATTTATATTTTTGTCCTGTCAGTAATAATTAAATTTAAGTGAATTTTATCAGCGATATATATACAAGCTTGGATAAGCCGTTCCATGACCGACAGTTTTGCGGGTACACATTTGAGACTATAAATCGTTCGCCTACCAAAATATTTATTAATCACAATTTGAAATTATCTTCTAACACTGTATTAATCGATTAATTTTTTTGTGTCGACCTTCAATTCAATATTTAACATCATTGTTTTGGGTTCACAATAAAAAAAAGTTTTAAAAACATATGGGATCGAACCATTTCGGAAACACTTTGGCTGCCATGAATTCTTTTTCGCAAATGATCTTCAGTAAAGAGAACAACACCAGCATCCGATAATTCCTCAATAATTATTGTCAGCGTTCAGTTATGATTTGGACGTCCTCAAAAAGCAATATATGAGCATGTAATTTCAATTTCAATTTTCATTTCATTGTTGACCTTACTTGGAAAGTCTCAAATTGCGACACGCGCCAAATTCCGTTATGTTTGAACACATAAATCAGCTCTGATGTTGAACATATTCGAACTAGTGTTGAGCCAGAGATAAGTAATTATATATATTAGTATAGTAAGCCAACAACTGTAAAGAACACATATAAAATCATATATCTATATACTGTAGCGACAACAATCAGGTAATGCTGAGCCACTAAAGTTAATGTGTTGTTTACGAAGAGCACTTAATGAAGCTGTTGCCGGTAAAACATTTACGGTTCGTACAATGGCCACTGCAATCGAGAGTCAAAAGAAGAATCGATCCTGAGGAAGCTAGGGTGGAAATAAGATACACATGTGAAAATAGGAGCCATAGAAGCGAAGATTAATTACCTGCTGTCTGTGATATATTCGAATATTCGAGTATATTAAACAAAAGGCAAGAGAACTAGAACATGAAAATTGTCAAATAAAATAAGTATAAGATTAGGTACTGTCAAAGATTTGCTGCTGTGACCTAAGATTTGCTGTGACCTAAATTCCATAGACTGCTTGGTGATCAATCGCTATAAAAAATACAATTTCTTGCGATAACGCAAAGTCATACTCAGTTATTCAGTATCAGCTAGAATGTCAGATCGATATTTTTTCTAAATTCTTCGAATATTTCGCTTAAAATCTAAACATTTTGGTTTTATAAAATAATCTAAACATTTTGGTTTTATAAAAGAATAAAATGCAAAAAATATAATTCAGTACTCACTGCAATGAGTGACAGAGAGCGCATTTTCTCGTCGACGAAAACGTGAAGTCACGGACGGACAGACAGACGGACGGACGGACGGACGGACAGACGTACATGGCGAGCACAATAGTGCATTTTTTTCATAAATGATAAAATGCGCTAAAAAGATGGTTTTCTTTGTATCAGCATTTTCAAAAGTTATCTCACAGACATGCGCGAAATATATAATAGTGTGGCTCATCACTTAATTCCCTAAGACCAGCCTTGCGGATCAAGATAAACGATCTAAACTAAATCGCGATATGATGATAGTGATTATTTACTTGCGTAACTTTTACTTGATGCGTTCATACGAAGAATGTTAGTTAGTTTTCAACGTTCCACCATGAAAAACATCTAACATTTTACGTCGTATCCAAAGAGCTGTATTCCCGAAAACCATGCTCGAGATGTGTACAAAGGAGTGACGGAATTTAACCGATGCCAGCTGAGCCCAGGGCAAATCTGCCCTCACTTCTGAAGGCGAAGCAATAAGCAAAAGCTTCACTAACGGGGCCATTCCTAGGCGCGTCCCAAAGTCTCATGATTGCTCTTCTCAAAAAGGTCGAAATCGCGGATTGCAACGCCTGCCCATAACCTCAGTCCATGAGTTGCAATCCCAGATATTCTTGCGGCCGTCGTAAGTATTCGGGTGTTGATCGTGGATTTCAGTTCAATGTTTAAAATAATATATCAGTTCGTATATTGGATGAATTTAGTGTTACAGATACTGCTGTACAGTGTCGCATTCAAATTTCTGGTTGTCGTTGTTGCGCATGATAACATCGAAGGTAATAGGAACTTGGAAAAGACAAGAGGTTAATCACAGGTAATAATATTTTCATTGCTGTACTAAAAGCCTTTCTCAGTTTCACTCACCTAATTTTCATTCCTAAACGCCACAGGACTTCATTTCGCTCCTAATCTTATCTGAAATATTTTATTTTCTATTTAATTTTCGTTATGAATTTATTTAGAACATTTTTTAGAATGAACTTAGAATTTTCTACGTTTGAACAGATTTGTCGAAGACCTATTGATGAATTCTGGTCCTATATGCAATCTTCAATGATTACTTGTTGCTGTTGAGTCTTGTGCATAACAGCCCATTTAGATATTTGATCAAAAACTGATATGCTCAGATCGAAAAGCAAACGATGACTTGGGAATTTGCAAATTTGTGTGGAAAATTATAAATTACGTCATCCACATCTCAAAATTGATAAGAGAAAGAGAGCCAGATAAACTGGCAGCTGAGTTGTGAGCTGCCGTCGCTTGGTCATATTTATAGCAGATATTACTGAAGATGAAATAAAACTAAAGTTTGTTGCGTACCTACTTTCGTTAAAGCCTTTTACATCATTGAAATTAAGGCAACTGTTATCAAGGAAAATCTAAAAAATATTTTCTAACGTTTAAGTAAACACGACCAAAACAATCCTATTCCCCAAGAAGAAAGTACGTATCTATATAATTAGTTTGTTTAAATCGAAAACACCGTATTGATTGAAATGCTAAGAAATGACAATTTTATACATTATCTATTCTCATTAAAGCGTTTTGGAGACCAGATCCCGCACCATAGTTCAAAACTTACTGACTAAAAGTATAATAAATAAAACGATCACATTTTCACGGAAAAAATTGAAGCCTAAACGGATTAACACGCGGGAAAAAACGAGCGAACAAACGTGCAAGCCTATCTATTATCAATTTCACTCGGGGGAAAAATATAAACATAGTTAAGACTAGATTTTCATTTAAAAATGTACCTTTATTCCGAGTTTCTCACACCGAAGGCACCAGAGTTGAACAGTATAATAAAATCGCTCTCAAACACAGGAACGTCACGTTGCTTGGTAGACACCTGAATGGGAGAGTGGGCAAGCAGGATTCCAGGACGATAACACCTGCTTCGGCGTTCGGCCAATCTGATGTGACGTTACACATCATCCCGACGTGCGCTGATGCGCACTAAACATGAAGAAACCATTTGAGCAGAATAACATTCTTACGCCTGAAGAAGAGAATTTTGCAATCGAGAAATAACACACTATTTTTAGCGTTCTGTTCAATAATAAAATCCATCTACGAATGTTGCGTGCTTAGATAATCGAAGAAAAGGCTCACATGAGAGCATTGTTAAACTATTATAGAGATGTAAACAACATATCTAGATTACTGTGAAAAACTGGATGGAAATCATAAGCACTGTCAACCAGATAATAAACCTCGTGAAAACGCATAAAAATTTTGCCCTCGTAGAACTAATGGGAACTAATGCCATCAATTTGTTTGTAAAATTGCCCAGTGAATACGAAAATCTTTTGTGTAAATTCAGTCGTTGTATTGATTATACATGTAATGTTAAAGCTTAGAAATAATAAGTATGCTGGTCAACGAAATAATTCATTGAAAATGTGGTCTTATGCATTTTTCTACTGGACAATTTCTTTGTTTTGGAATTCCTGATGAATATAGAAATAATTTTAAATATAAAACTATGCAATTCTATAATCTCAATTTTATGATGAAAATATCAAAACCATGAAAAATGTTAAAGAACACACATTAAAATAATATTGTGGGGAAATATTTTTTTTAATCAACCCCGGTGATATTCTTTTCTGTATAAGAGCTTAACACCGTCGGCTCATAACTTTTCAATAGCGAGCCAAAACTTAAATAATCAAGAAATGATTAATTGATATTTATTTTACGGTATGAAGTTAATTAATATTATTTCAGTCGAGTTTTTCGTTAAAAAAGTACTGAATAATTCCCTTGGACAAGCACTTTAGTGTACAAAACAAGAACAGTTATCAAATTGGCATTTATCCTGAAAAATTCTTAAATTCTGACTCAAGTAATGGTTTTTTTATGTGCAAAATTTATTTCGTATACTGGGCTTGGTGCCGGTTGGTATTAAGTGTGGTTTCCTCCATCTTCTGACAAATTTCTTTACAGTTCAAAATGCGATTATTGTGAAAATATTCCCGGTGAATGTGTACCACATAATTATTTTTATCTGAGAAAGAATCAAAATAAAAAATTCGTAGGGATGCATGTTGAAAACTTTTATGGCAGAGTTTAGATCGGACTGCTGTCGAAGATATTCTTGGTCGGAGCAACGGTGACTATATACATATACCGCTAACCAGGAAGGCCAAACAAGGGCTCTTGTGGCAGCCAGCATAACGGCA